GCATCAACGTCTACCCACCAGTGGTTATCATTTTAATGATACATATATGATAATATGATTGTCAGGTTCTCTTCATCTGTATCTTTTGTCCAGATGCATTCCCACTACCTTTTGCTCTTTTGTAGCTTGTAATGGTAAATAGGTATTATCTTGCTTAAGAAAAAATTGATTAAACCTACTCAGGATGGACATTGGTTATTAAAGGCCTTTCAAAGAGGCAAACTAAGAAACATTTTCCTTCTCATTCTCTTCACCCTTCCTGCCATTTTTCTATCTTGTTCATGAGATCCAGTATTCTGACCATTCCATTAACTACAGGCTTTCTACAGGTGGTAATAGGTTTGTTTTTTTTAAGATCAGCTTTATAAAAATATGATTTACATGAACTAAAATGTATCTTTTAAGTGTACGGTCACACTGAGCTTTGGCAAATATATTGATGTATGCCCATGTCTCCACCACCACAACAACATATGGGGCATTTTTGTCAGCCAGGAAGTTTTCTTGTGTCCATTTGCAGTCAGCTTCCTTGCCCCTATTTCCACCCCAGAGCAGTCACTAATCTGGTTTTTATTATTGGAAAATTAACGTCACCTATTCTAGGATTTCATATACACGGACTCATCTAGTACATACTATATTTTGCCTGGCTTCTTTCAGTTATGGTGATGTTTCTGAGATTTATATCTACATCGTTTTTTATAGGAGTAGCCCCATTTCCTTTTTATAGCTGTGTAGTATTCTAGTGCATGTACAAACTACAGCACGTTCATCCATTCACCAGTTGATGGATATCTGGGTAGTTGTTGGTTTTTTATTATGAATAACCAAAATTACTGCGGACAATCACATTGGTATCATTTTTATGTTTTCACTTCTCTTGGGTCATTACCCAGACTTCTCCAAGTTGGTTTTGTCACTTTTCATTCTTTTTTTTTTTTTTTTTTTTGCTATGAGGCATGTGTGCTCTCCGGAAAGACGGAGACAGAGAGACAGAAAGCAAGAAATCACCCCCCAGGGGGGATGGCCACGCCTCAGTGCCTTCTCCTCCATTCTCCTCTCTGAATCTTGGGCATGCACGCACAAGTGCCTGGCGCGAGTTTAAGCCAGGGTCCAGGACTCAAACTGTGGTCGACTACATGGGAGTCCAGAGATATAGCCATTACGCCAACTGCTGGTCCCAGTCGCTTTTCATTCTCATCAGTCAGGCATGCATAGATGTTCCCCTTGCTCTACATCTTTACTTGGAATTTATCTATCTTTTGAATTTTAGCCATTCTAAGATGTATATAGTGAAATCTTTTTTTCAAAACAATGTTTTCAGATCTAATTTATGTACAATTTGCTCATTTAAAGTGTACAGTTCAGTGGTTTCAAATTTATTCAGTTATGCAATCATCACCACAATTTTGAAACATTTCATTATCTCAGAATAAAACCTTGTGCTTTGCAGCAGTCACTTCCCAGACCCCCTCACCTCCCCAGCCAGTGGCAACTATTCATCTACTTTATATAGACTTTTCTGTTCTGGCCATTTCACATACATGGGATCATATAATATATGGTCTTTGTTTCTGGCTTTTTCTTAGTATAATGTTTTTAAGGTCCATTCATATATATCAGTTTTATTCATTTTTATTATCAAATAATGTATAATTGAATAGATATACACACATACAAACATGCATTCATGGTAGAGAGAAGAACTTGGCTAGCTTATGGTCTGATGGTTAAGTGAGCTGAATTCCACATGGCCAATTGTGTAGTTTGCGTCCTAGACCAGACCCAAGAGCTTGAGAAATACACCATGCACATATGCATTTGTGCCTAAAACCCTTAAAGAAGGGAGAAACAGAGAAGGGATTGCAGTGTGATCGTGCCCCATGGGGGGTGCTTTTTTGCTCTCCCTTTTTCTCTCCTTCTCTATCTCTGGTGAGTGCACATGCCCTCTAGCAAATTAAAAAGAGAAACAGAGAGAAGAACCAAAATGGCAAAGCTTAATATGAAAAACAGTGGTCTCTTTGCTGACCTTATTTTTAACCCCTAATTTCTCTTCTCTAGAGGCAGCCCCTTTCAACACATGTCACTGTATCTCTATGTTGTCTAACTACTACTGCCCTGATTTTTCAGTTTTGGACATTATCTAATGACTTTCTGATAGGGAAGTGAGAATGCAGTTTCTCACTATCCCTCTCTTGGGATACTTCATATCAACATATATATATCTGCTATTTTCACCAATACACACACAGTCTTTTTTTGCTCTTTACTCCAGTATATGGCATGTATTTTGCTTAAATCAGTAGTTTGTGTTTATGTTATTATGATTCTGAAAGTTCTTTTTAGCTGAATTTCAAAATGTATCGTAAATATATTTTCTTTTATGCAAAATTTGTTTTCCTACTTGGCCTGCTGTCTGTAAGTCCAAAGCTACTCAGCTTCAGTTGTCTAAATACTGACCCAGTGTTTTTGCTTTGGTGCAGTTGTGAAGTCTCACTGTCTCTTTTCAGGTATCCAGGCTGTAGGCTGCTCTCCACTCCTGCCCATTCTCGTTATGTGAATGCACCTTATGCATTTGAGTCCTGCTGAGTGAGGTTTGAGGAAAGCATCTGGTCATTCCTTGTCTCTTCCCTGTCCCAACTCTCAGGCATGGGTTTCCGTTTTCTTTATTTGTTTGCCTTTTCAGTTCCCCAGACAGCTCTTATCTAGTCTCTATTTTTGTTGGTTTACGCCTTTTTGTTTTCCTTTACTGTCATCTTATTGAACTTTTTGGAGGACAGGAAAAAAGCATGTTGTACTCGGTTCACCAGATTTAACCAACAGTCAAAAACGTTATGTTTATTGCCCAAGTAAGACTAGCTTTAGAATCCCCTGCCCTCCACTCCCCACTGCCTTTGCTGAAATGTTTAGCATATCCTACCTACCTCAGTCATTGCAGTAGCCCCTGACTAGTCTCTTTGCCCTTAGTGTCATTGTCCTGAAACTGAACCTTTAGGTGCCCAGTTCATGGATGCTCATTTGCTTGGCAAATAGAACCCCCAAGGATGACCTGACTTCTTTCTTTGTCACTAGTCTTCCTAGCTGATGTTTATTCATTCAGTCATACAGTGTATATTTTTCAAAAAATACCATGCTGTTTACGCCATCGTGCTTTTGTCTGTGCTCTTCCTCCAGATGGAAGAGCTCCCTCCTCCCAGTTTTGCTTCCTCATCAGAATCTGATGACTGTCTCCAACTCCATTAAGCCCTTTTTTTGTTCCTCTTCTATTGATTAGGTCGTTGGGAAAAGCATGGCTTTTTTTTTTTTTATGTTTTTCTGTGCAAAAATGCATTGTGACTTTCCCAACCACACAATAGTTTTACTTCTGTTGTTAAAATTATTGCACTAGATCCTTTTTTTAAAATTTTTTTTTACTTTTTTTCGCAAGTTTCTTTCTTGTCTGGCTTAGTAGAAGATTTGTTTTCTCATATCTGCTTCTGCATTCAGTTTATTGAGAGTGCACATGTGAATTAGCTTCTAAAATCTCCACTGTATATTCATTATAGAATGAGAAATAAAAAAGGAAAATAACATGTTTGTATTACCATAAAAATAGCTTTGACTTTCCATACTCTCAAACAGGTACCAAGAATGTGAAGGGTCTTCTGATTCAAGTGAAATTTGCTATCCTAGTGGTAACTACTGTTGTCATTTAACCTATAGAGCATACTGTGCCGTACTGACATTGATTGATTGATTGATTGATTGATTGATTGGAGAGGTTTTTGCCATAGGGCGCATGAGCTTGCAAGAAGGACAGAGAGATAGAAAGCGAGAAATCACCCCCCAGGGGGGATGGCCATTCTATAATACCTTCTCTTCCATTCTCCTCTCGGGATCCTGGACATGCATGCACACGTGTCTGGTGTGAGTTTAAGCCACCGGATCCAGGACTTGAACCGTGGTTGACTACATGGGAATCCAGTGACATAGCCATTACGCCAACTGCTGGTCCCCATACAGACATTTCTGAAGCTTCCTTTTCATTCTTGATATATTTCATAGTGCTTTCTATGTCAGTATGATTGTATTCATTTAATTATTTTTAAATAATTGATTTGTATATTAGGTATTTAACAGTGATGGTTTTATGAAATGTAGTTGAGATTGGTTAGGAACCGTACCATAAAAAGACTTAAACAGCAGTTAAGTGTGATGATTTGTAAACATGGAAGTAATTGAAAGTTTTTGATCCAAGTTTGGGAGGTGAGTAAAATGTTTTAAGATTAATAGTTCAGAAATATATAAATGAATTTAAAAAAGAGAAATGATGGGACCAGAGATCATCTTGAAAATCATTGGATTGTTTAGAATTGGATGACTGAATGCTTAGAAGGAAGAAATCAAAATACAAAAGGTTGAATAACATAAAGGGAGGAGAACTGGCAGGGTGTGAGGACAGACAGATATGCAGGGAGGAGGCCTGACTATGAGCAGCTGGGATTACACACCTGGCTCTCTAGGGTGATTGTGATATCTTGACAGAAACACACATAAATAGAACAACCCAGTTATGGAGGAGGAATAGGCTCTCTGGCCTGAGTTTCTTTAGATCCTTTCAACCTCTGAAATTTTATAGCCTGTTTACTCTTAAATTATATATTAAATAGCATCTGCTTATAATTTCAGATCTGTAACACACTTCTACCTTTATGAATGCATGTCATGTACTCATATGAGACTGTTGCATAAAATTGTGAAAATGTTGCATAAAAATTGTGCTTCCTTTCCCTCCTTCTTACTTCTACTCTGACACTTAAGAAAACACCATGGAGAGAAGATTTTAAAGTTTAATTTACATTGACTTTTGCATTTGTTATTAAATGTACTTACTTTAAAATGTTTGTTGAAATGACTTGTGCATGGATTTTCTTTAAGTTGCTGATATATATGCAGATTTAGTGTTGTATAAATGTAATAGAAATAAATAATCATTAGACTACTGCAATTTAATTATACAGATGCAAGACAGCTGGAGCACACATTGATGAATCATTATTCCCTGCAGCTAATACTAAGGAACACTTACCAAGCTTAATGAAGAAAAAAGTAAGTATGTAATTTCAGTGTAGAAAGTGGCAATTATGAATTTATTTATTCTTTTTTTAATTCCTAGAAGATAAAACTTTTAGCAGTGTATTTAAGAATGGTATTAAATATGCTGATGATATTTATTCTTTTCATGTAGCATTTTTTAAGAAGTTTTAGATATTATTTTATCCTATGAATATGTTTATGTAATTTCTAAGAATGAATGAGACTATGGTTGGTCCCAGAAAAAGTCAGTATTGCTAAGAGACCAACAAAACTCAGGTGCTTTGGTAATAACTTCAGAATTAGGTTATGTCTATAGTAAAATACCTTTATTCTCTTTAACCCAGAAATCTTCAAAGTCCAAAGCATGTATAGCTAAGTGTACAAACTCCTGGGACCCATGGTTACAAAGCAGCCATTAATTAGTACATTTCATTTTGTGCAGATACTTTAGTGAAAACAGTGCAGGCTGGTTCTAAGACCATTGAAATTAACCTACCAACACATCTTTGACATAATTTACTTATCTATATTGTTGACTTTCTGTCAGCTATACTAGAGTACAGCACCTTGATAGCAAGGATCTTTCTAGGTTGCAGGACCACACTTGACTCATAATGACATTTTTGCTAATGAACAAGTGTATACTAAGTGAATGGTTAAAAGAAGTTCTTTAAGACCAGAACAAAAGAAGTTAGAATAGGTACTTGGAAAGCAAATTTGAACTGGTAGTTTTGAAAAACCGAAAGACATTTAGATAGATTTAAATTTCTCTGGGTCCTTTAAAAAATAGCTTAGATATAGAAGTAGGAGTAGGTGAAGTCGATGGAAAGTTCAGTTTTGTATTTGTGCTGATGACTGGGCTAAAGTTAGGGAGTTAATGGGTAACTCCAAAGAAGAGAAAGTAGTGGGTAAGGCTAAGAATGTGTAGTGTATTTTAAAAGAGACATTCTCTTTGGTAGTTTAAAATAATTGCTTTTATGTTTTGCTATTATGTCATGATATGAGAAGAAGATGACATGAGAATAGCAAGAAATGGGAAGTTCTTAGTTTTTACCAAGAACTATATAGAAAAGAAGAATGTCAGGATCCTGAAAATGTGCAGAAAACATAGTTATGTAGTATAGAGCTTTTTATTCAGTCTTATTTTTTTAAATAATTCCATTAAAAAATACTTATTGCCAACTCATATATAGTACAAAAAACACCTATTTTAGAAGTTTTTATAAGAGGACCAGCCCCATGGCTAATGGTTCTGTCTTGTCTATCTCTCTTTCCTTTTTGTAAGCACCTGTAAAATTAAAAAAAAAAAGCTTTTATTAATGATGTTATAAAATATAAATTTTTGTGAAAGGACTTTTTTCTTTCTTAAACAATTCTAATACAGCATTACTTATTTTTCTGTCCTTTCTGTACAGCGAAAGTGCATGCAGCCGAAAGATTTTATTGCTAAAACTCCAGAAAATGATAAAAGACTTCAAAAAAAAATTGAGAAAATGACTAAAGAGCTACAAAGGCAAAAAACAACTCTAGGTAAGCCAAGAAATATACTCCCTTGCGCTTTTGTTCATACATCTTGTTTAATGTTCCTGATGACTGGTAGCATTCAGGATGAGATAGCTAATAAAGCCTTACAGTAGTTTTAGGCTGGGAAAGAGAAAATAAAATATAAGTTGCCTATAGCAAACTTGAATAAGAGTCATGGTCAAGCCGTGCTTTTAGCTAATTGACCACAAAGTCTTAACTGTTCATCAGATTGCTGACAGATTTTTATTTTCAAGTGTGATTATAGAAGAAAAGCAAACTTTACTAATAAACCTGACTGAAATAAGTCTGTATTTATTTCTTTAGAGATTCATAGATTTAAATCTGTGATGGAGTAGAATTAAGTAGAACAATAGCTCTCATACTGCCACTACATAATTTTCCAAAAATTTATCATTTGCTTCCACACTCAGTCATCTGATCGTCTCTGTTGGGGTGTGCGGGTTCTTCCCCCACAAAGCTACCCTAACTGTGGTCTTTCTACCTATTCAAGCCAGAAACATGGAATTACCCTTGACATATCTTTCCCCTTGACACTACACCTATAAAACCATGACCCCATTCCTGTAATAATTGTGTGACTCCTATACTTCTCGTTCTCTTACTCCCAGTTTTCATCATCTTTCCTGTAGCATTACAGCTGCTGCTTAACCAGGCTTTCTGCTCCATCGTGTCCTTACCATCCATCTATGCTTTAGTTAGAATGATGTAAATCTTAGAGCTTGACAGCCCACCCTGTTTTAAAGTTCCCTGGTATCATTTCAAGAAGTACTTAGGGGATTAGCAGTTAGCGTAGTGGCTATGTTGCTGGACTCCCATGTAGTCAACCATGGTTCGAGTCCCAGACCCAGCGGCTTAAACTCATGCCGGGCTCATGTGTGTGCATGCTCAAGATCCCAAGAGGAGAATGGAGGAGAAGGGATTGTGGTGTGGCAATCCCTCCCGGGCTGAGGGGGGCGGTGGGCGGGTGATTTCTTGCTTTCTGTCTCTCTCTGTCTTTTTGGCGAGCGCACATACCCTATAGCAAAACAACCTCTCCAAAAAAAAAAAAAAAAGAAGACAAACTATTTAGGATAAAATAATATAATATAAATATATATATATATACACATACATATATTTATATTATTTATATATTATAAATATATTTATATATATGTTAAGTTTATTGAGAGAGAGCAAAGGATGGAGGGCTGGAGGAACGGAGAGAAAAGGAGAAAGACAGATAGACAGGGACCCCTACTGGATCGTGTCCTATCCCTGTCTTCCCTCTAGCTCTCAAGCCACCAGAACAAACCACAGTCATACCCAGTATATTCACATTGACTCACAAACCAGACTTGGCTCAGCATTGTGCAAAGGTGCCCTACTGACAGCACCGCCAGAAATCCTCTATGTAATATGTCCTGTAACCTAGTAGGACCCATATCTGGTCTCTTCCTGTAGCCTCAGGTCAACATCTCACCACTTTCCTATAATTCTTTATACTTTTGCTACTTTGACCTTATATCTTATATTAGTGATAGTGTATTTGAAAAGAATACAACAAAATGGGAATGTAGATATAAATTTTTCCCTTTTTAGACCAAATGTGTACCTTAATAGAAATTGCCTGTTAAAAACTACCAATATCTCAATAGAAGAATGGAAGAGAAGGGATTGTGGTGTGACCATCCCCGCTGCGTGATGATTTCTTGCTTTCTGTCTCTCAGTCTCTCTCTGTCTCTCCAGCGAGCACATGTACCCTATAGCAAAAACCTCTCTTAAAATAAATAAATAAATATACCTACAGCTATTAAGTATTCATGAGTCAACTAATATAGTTCTGTGTATTGTCAGAACTATAGTGAGGGTTGTCCGGGTCTAAGAGTTGCAAAGGAAAAGATATTGAATGATTCTTGGTATTTTATTATTGGGGTGAGGGCAGAATGGCAAAATCCTGAAGGTCTCTGAGTATATGCAAGGTATACTCCAGAAAAATGTAAAACTTTGTACCCACACAAAACAAGCCCATAATTTTATGATTCAGCGAACAATCTGATCCCATTTTATACAGTCAAGTTCACGTTTGGGTCTGGGAGTGGTGATTAGTTGGAGCAGTTTCTAAAACCTGGGGTAAAAACCCCATTTGGGAACCAAATTACATTCTGTATTCTGGATTTCTTCTTTTACTAGATATGTGATTTTTTAGTAAGTTATTTAACTTCTTTATCTCAATTTCTTTTGTCTTTAAATGGTGATACTGGTACCTAATATTTTGGATTTGGGGACACTTAGATAAGATAATGCATGCATTGTGCTTAATACAATGTCTGGCACATCGTAATAGCTCAATAAATAATTGCTTCAGCTGTGGTTGTAGCGTCATCGATTGTGTAGGTGGTGGTAGAGTATTAGTACTAGTAGGTAATGATATCGAGAAGACAGGATATCTATGAAGATGGAAGGGTGGGTATTCCTTATAAGGAATCATGTTGTTGAAGTATGTAGGCTTTTTTTATTTTTAATTTAAGATTGCATTTTTTTTTATTTTCAGATAATGATATACCTGTTCTCTTTTTCGAATCCAATGGTTCATTGGTATATAGTCCCACAACTAAAATTTATAGTACTCACCACAGCACAATGGAAAAGAGGCTCCAGGAAATGAAGGATAAAAGAGAAAATCTTTCCCCTACATGTAAGTGATTATAGCTTGTAAATATAGCTTATAAAATAAAAATTATCCAAATGGGTAAATGAAATATGATAAGTATTTTTTTTCTTTATCTAGATACGTCTGTTAATGTTTCCTTATTATAACAGATCTTGGCCTATTCAGGGCAGACTTTGTTAATATTTTCTTCCATAAAGTCTTATGCTTTATTAAGATTTTTGAAGCACATGTGGGATATAGAGGATTCTCTATGTTTAAAATCCTCTTTTTGTAGCTTCTTTGTAATTTCTAATATCTTCAGAATTTTTTTGAAAAATTTAATTAATTGGTCCTCTATTTTGAAGAAATTTGTATTATATTAATGTATCTAGTGCATTTACTTTCTCTGTGTTCTTTATCTTTGAAGTTAAAGATATTTTTTAATACTTTGTAAAGATTGAGTACATTTTAATAAAGCACTTAACAGTGTAGTTAATAATAAAAATTCATTTTGATTCCCATATAATTCTACTTCTCTATCCCAGTGTAACCTGTATTTTAAGTTGATCTGATTTTCTGGTCTCTTTAAGTTTCTCACATGTCTATATTACAGGTGTGGTTTCTGTGTGGAGTTGTAATTTCTCTTTTATGTATTATTTTTAACTTTTTTTGTTTGTTTTGGGGTTTTTTGTTTGTTTGTTTTACTTATAGAGTATCCTGGAGGTTTTTTGTTTTTAGGTCAGTAGGTGAGAGCTGGCCTCTTTATTTAAGATGCTATAAAGTACTCTGTAGTTTTGATATTGAATCATGTGTTGATGTGTATTTTTTTCCCCAGTTTTTCTTTATTAGAAATAGTGTTGTAGTTTTTATTCTTTTCTTACTACATATTTGCTTTCTTTTGGTTTGCTAAAACAGAAAGAGAAAGGAAAAGTGAGAAATCACTCCCCAGGCAGGGATAGCCACACTGAGGTCCTTTCTCCTCCCTTTTTCTCTCAGGGTTTTGGGCACTCACACACAGGTTCCCAGAATGTTTCTTTCGCCACCACCAGGTCTTAGACTCGAATCATGCAGTTGACTGTGTGGGATCCAGTCACTCCAACTACCAGGCCACTTGCTGACCCTGTTCTTGTTTTTTATTTAACCACTTTTCTTTCTATGGACATAAAGATTTTCCCCTGATTTTTTTTTTTTTTTAATTTTGCTAAAGGTGCATGCTCTTACTGGAGAGAGAGAGAGAGAGAGGGAAAGTGAGAAAGCACCCCCTCCCCGGGGGGGAGTGGCCATTGCACAATTCCTTCTCTATTCTCTCTTAGAATTTTGGGCACACATACCTGGTGTGTTTTTCAAGCTGCCAAGTCTGGGACTCAACCCAAACAAATGGCCATGTAGTTAGGATCCAACTGCCTCAACCACCGTGCTACCAACTAGCCCCTCCCCTATTTTTAATTATAACCCCTACATGCATCTACATACATTTTTATATTCTTGCATACTTCAAGCATTTCAATTATGTTCATAAAAATAGGATTTAAAATTTTCGATGTGGGCAAATTATCCTTCAAAAAGGTTAGGCCATTTTATTATTCACTGCTATTTTACAAGACTGCCAGTTTCTCCATACTTGTAAGACTGAATTGTATTAGCCTTTCATTGTTTTTCGTTCTGAAAAACAAAAACTAGATTTCTTTGTTTAATTTGTTTTTTATTATTAATAATGTCAAATGTCTTTTCATATTATTGGCTATGACTTACTGAGTATGTGAATTTTATATTCCTTATCCATCTACCTATTATATTTTTTCTTTGCTGTGCTTATAAGAGGTTTTTTTAAAGAATTATTTTATTCAACTTTATTCACTTTTTTTGTTGTTTATTTGACCAGAGAAACAAAGAGAATGAAAAAGTGAGAGAGCAAGCCACCAGGTCTGGGACTCAAAACAGAGCCTTGTGGGAGTCCATCATTCCTAACTACCACATTACCAGCTGGCCCCAGAGAGCTTTTTTTAAGTTTAGATATTTAAGCTTTTTTGAATTTTTGATACGTGACACAAAATGGGCACCTGTTATCAGTTAAGATTAATTTTGAGTGCATATAACAAAGAAACACAAAAACCAATAGCTTTGTTAAATTAAATAACATTCTATTTCTCTGTCAAGAAGACAAGTTCAGGGACCAGCAGATGGTGTTATTGTTACGTTGCTGGACTCCCATGTAGTTGATCGCAGTTTAAGTTCCGGACCCAGCAGATTAAAACTCAAACCAGGTACAAGTGCATGCGTGCCCAAAATCCCAAGAGGAGACTGGAGGAGAAGGGACTGTGGTGTGGGTATCCTCCTTGGAGGAAATCACTAAGAAATCACTACTTTCTGTCTCTCTGTTTAGTGCACACGCCCTGTAGCAAAAACCTCTCAACAACAACAACCAAAAAAAAGGTCAGTAGTAGGCTGTCAGATCTGGGAAGGCACTCCTTGTTACCTTTAAGAACCTAGATTCTTGGGGCTGGCAGGGGTGTGGTGGCTGAGGGTGCTGGACTCCCATATGGCTGACCAAGGTTTAAGTCCTGGACTTGGAGGCTTACATTCTCATTTATTCTCCCTCCCTTTCTGTCTCTCTCTCTCTCTCTATCTCTCTCTCTCTTTCTCTCTGTCCCTCTGGTCAAATTAAAATATAAACCAATTAAATAAATAAATAAAGTTAAATCAAATCATTCTTAAAAAAAAATCTATAGATTCCAGGCTGGCCCCATAGCTTAGTGGTTAAGGGAGCTGGGTTTCATATGCCCAACCACAGTTTGAATCCTGAACCTGGTGGCTAGAAAAACATGCCTGGCTTGTGTACATGTATGACCAGAATCCTGGCATGATGGAGAAATGAAGGAGAAGGGATTGCTATATGACCATGCTCCTTGGGGAGTGGTACTTTCTCCCTCTTTCTCATCCTTCCATCTCTGGCAAGCACACACACCCTCTGGCAATTAAAACAAACAAACAAAAACATCAGACCAGCAGGCAGCATAGTGATTAAGACGTTGGATTCCCACATGACTGACTGCAGTTTGAATCCTGGGCTTAAAAATCACATGGGCATGTGTACGTTTGTGTCCAAAATCTCAGGAGGAGAATGGAGGAAAAGGGATTGCAGTGTGGCCATCCCCACCACCCCCGCCACCTCCTACCTGCTCAGTAGATGAATTTTCACTTTTCCTCTTTCTTTCTCCAGTGAGCACACACACCCTATGGCAAAACCAATTTAAAAAAAAAAAAAAAATCTGTTTTTATCTTTATGGTTTGCCTCCTGGGGTGCCTGGCTTTTGTTCTAAAATGTGTGTCTCTTGCAGCTGAGCCAGAGAGTGTCCTGTAACAGCCTTACCAGACATCCCTCCCAACATTCCTGCCTAATTCCATTCTCAGGGACCTTAGTCCTATGGTCATTCATGATTACAAGCAAGACTGAAAATTTAGTCTTTGTGAGGATGCATTTCTGCACTAAGATCAGAGTTCTGTTTTTAAGAGGAAGCGGAGAATGGATATTGAGATAGATAATTAGCGGTGTCTAAACTATTTGGACATCCAAACTGTTTCAATGTGTAGTTAAGTATATAAACAAATTTGCCTTAAATTATTTATTCTGTTATTTTGCAGCATTATTTCTGCCATTTAACTGCATCTAGCACAGTTTAAAACTCAACTCCTGAAAGTTTTATCTGTGTGCTTACCTTTCTTACCTTGGCTTATTCTCTTTTTTACAATTGTTTGATCAAGTTTCCTCCAAAAAGTATCCTTTTGAGTCTCTTTACAAAAAGCTTTTGTACAAGACCCAAACATTTCCTTTGTTTCTTATACGTTGTATACACGGCCTTTGAAGATAATATCTATGACCTTATTTGTTAAATTATTGATATCCTGGATGTCTTCTGTGGAATCTCTGGTATTTCTCTTTTTTTTTTTTTTTTAAGAGAGATTTTTGCCATAGGGTACATGTGCAAGCCAGAGCGATGCAGAGAGACATACAGCTAGAAATCACCACCTCCCCAGAGGGGGATGATCATGCCTCAATCCCTTCTCCTCCATTCTCCTCTCAAGATTTTGGGCACACATGCATATGCGTCCAGCATGAGTTTTAAGCCACCAGATCTGGAACTCAAACCACAGTTGAATTTGTGGGAATTCTGCGATGTAACCATTATGCAATCTGCTGATCCTGAGTTCCAGTATTAATTAACCTTAGCACTATTTACATTTTGGGCTCAATAATTTGGTTGTGGGCACTGTTCTGTGCTGGTAGTATTTTAATAGAAACCCTCACCTCTTCCCACTGTATAGCAATAACTTACTACCAGTAACTTACCTACCCTACCTTGCTTGTGATATCTAAAATGTTCCTAGGCCTTACTAAATATCTGTTGAGAGCCCATATCACTCCTGATTGTTGCTCATAACATGCAGGTGTCTGGAAAGTAATAATGTTTTTTTCTTTCTTTTTCTTTTTAAGAATCATTTATTTAACATTATTTATTATTATTATTAGGGTTTTTTTGTTTTGTTTGTTTGTTTGTTTTGCTATAGGTTATGTGTACTCACCAGCTAGAGAGAAAGAGAAAAAGTGAGAATGCAAGTTAGTAGGTCTGGGAATCGAACTACAGTCAGCCATGTGAGAGTCCAGCATCTTAACCACCATGCCACCTGCTGGCCCCAAAAACCCAATAGTTACCTCTATAATTTGAACAGTGAACCACTTGAAGAAAAAGCCATGATTATCAAACAGAAAAATTAAGTGACAATTTTTATTTAACTTTCTTAAGCTTCTGATTAGATTGAGGCGAGTTGACTTTTCATTTACGATTTGACATTTATGATTCTCTGACTTAATTCTATTTTTAATGATATGATTTATGTGGTTTTTAAAATAAGTTTATTTCTTTCATGAGTAAGAGAGACAGACAACCCTCAACAGTGCCACAGCATAATCCCCTTGCACCCAGCCCTCCTAGCCAACCAGGATCCAGGGCACACGTGCTTGGTATGCACTTCGTGACCAGGGAACTGAATCCATTGTCTTTATATGGATCCAACATCACTTGAGTAGTGCATTACTGATGTACCACCAAACTGGCATTGTAGGTTATTTTTTATAATTCTCATCCTCTGTAACAGAGTTAACTAAGTAAGTTTTTGTGTACTTTTGGTTCTCTATTAAGTCTGGAATATACAATGTAAGGAATACGTTGATGTATGTGTTATATATGAGAATAAAATGGGTATACTTATTGTTGGCCTTATCTACTAAAAAATGTTGACATTACATTAACTGAAATGTTTTCTGTTTTCAGCTTCCCAAATGATTGACCAGTCTCATGATAGTCCAGATAACACTCTGTGTGAAGCATCTTTGAACATTTCACATGATACTTTGTGCTCAGGTAAAATTACTATTTTCTTTGCTGTTATCTATTTAAGTTTTGAGAACTGTATGGTTTTCTTATTTGGAATTTCATGTAGCCATTTCAATGAGTTGAACAATTAGTTAAATCTAGAAGTCATAAGTTTCCACTTGAAATTTGTTATTATAATAAAATCAAAGCATGGGACCAGCAGATGGCATAGTGGTTACTTCTCTGAATTCCCACGTGGCCGACTGCTGTTCAAGTCCTGTACCCAATAGCTTGAAAATCATGCCAGGCATGTGTGCATGTGTGCCCAAGATCCCTGGAGGAGAATGGAGAAGGGATTGCAATGTGACCATCCCCCGGTGGGGGGTGATTTCTCACATTCCCTTTCACTGCATCTCTGTCTGTCTCTCTCTCTCCCCTGTGAGCACACACACCCTCAGTCAAAAACCTCTTTTAAAAACAACAAAAAATCAAAGAATGTTAAACTTCTTTTTGGTTATTTATAGGTTTTATCCTAGGCATTTACTATAGAATCAGTTGTTCATTGTTTATAAATTCTAATCATCTTATACAACCTGACCTATATGCAGTTTAAACTGTATAGTAGTGAGTCTCCAACCTTTTGACACCAGGGACCAGTTTCATCCAGTTTTTCCATGGACCAGGAAAGTGAAGGGGAGATAGTTGAGGATGATTCAAACACATTATATTTATAATCCTTTTTATTTTTATTGTTATCACATTGTAATATATAATGAAATAATTATACAACTCACCATAATGCAGAATCAGTGGGTCCCCTAAACTTATTTTTCAACTAGATGGTCCAGTTTGGGGGTCATGGAAGACAGTGACACCAGAAGTGTATTGCTTGTGTCCAGTCTACTCCATAATCTCATTTTGGTTGCTGTCACTGCAGAAAACCCTGCTTCATATAGGATATTGGAAATGGAAGCAGGCTTTTCAGTGCTTTTGTAGCAATCTCAGTATATTCTGCATTGACCTTAATCCAGAACATGTGGAGATTTGAAGTTGTCTCAACTACACTTGAAGACCACTGCCATTTGTGATCTCAGGCAGTTGATCTTTTTCTAGCATGGACAAAGTTGACTCACTCAGCTTATTCATAAAGGGGTCACAGATTCATTCCTTCCCAGTGTGGGAGTCATTTGTGGTTGGGAAGTAATGCTCAAACTCTTTTTTTCTTTCTTTTTTTTTTTTTTGGAGAGGTTTTTTCGCTATAGGGCGCGTGCGCTCGCCAGACAGAGAGAGACATAGAGACAGAAAGCGAGAAATCACCCCCCAGGGGGGATGGTCACGCCGCAATCCCTTCTCCTCCATTCTCCTCTGGGGATCTTGGGCACGCACGCACACGCGCCTGGCGTGAGTTTTAAGCCACCAGGTCCGGGACGCGAACCGTGGTCGACTACGTGGGAGTCCAGTGACATAGCCATTACGCTAACTGCTGGTTCCCATGCTCAAACTCTTTTGAAAGCTGAAATAGGTGGACATGCACCAGCTTGAAGGAAAAAAAAAAAAAAAAAAAGTCCTGGATCAGTCTCTTTCAAAATCTCTGCTAATCTTTCAAACATGTTAAATAAATAAATAAATAAATAAAACCCATATTCACTTGTCACATCACCACCGTAATTCCACTTTGTCTTTGAATACAGATACTTTTTCTGCCTATTTGGACACAGTTGTTCTCCCCTGATGTGACAGATTTTGTTCAGC